GTCACGGGTCGATTATCACCTGGGGATTATCAGACAGTGTGTGGATTCCAGTAATGTCTTACAATTCGAATTCATGGCATCATTTCCGATGTATCTGAAGGAATGGTCATTGGATTTGTACTTTATCTTTGATGTGTAGTAGATCTCTCTTCTAGAAGCAACTCCAATTTTGTCAGATGAACAATCACTGAGTATAAGTTTCACGCTGTAGGCGTTTGAATATGTAACACGCGTGTGTATGTGTTTGTGACGGGAGCAACCGGTGTGACAGGATACGCACACCCCCCCCCCCCCCCCCCCCCCCCCCCCCGTCGTCACGAGTCATCACTTGTTTGTAAACATGACGATCAGTCGGATGCGAGTTAACTCCATGCATGGTTGTGGCTGCCTATCACAGTAGTGAGCTGTGACTGGTAGCAGCGATAGTATAGAGAACTCCGCGAATGGTCTATCGCTGCGAGGAGCCTGGTATTCTGGCTGCCGGAGAGCGCAACCAAAGATAGAGATTGTACGCACGCTTCATTAACGTTCCTCCCACTCAGAGTCATCAGCAATAACCTGCAATTGTCTACTGCAGGTGTTTCATTCCTTCTGCGTAGGTGTGGTAGAATAACCGTTCCAGTAAGGATTTGAAGGTACAAAGGAATGAGAGCATCCATCCATTCGGTGTACTTCTTTCCCCAGGCTGTTAAAGCTACAATGCCCGCATAGTAAACTATGTTCATGCACACCACCAAAGGCCGTCTCTTGGTCTTCCTCGCCGTAGTATAACAATGAGCCATCTGATCCATGGTGTCGGCTCCTTCTTTTGTCTTATTGTATCACCCCACAAATCACGGAGACCTGCAATCTTTCTTTCACACGTTTCTGACTTCTTTGTCATAGAGATCTATGTTGAGACATTGTCGCTCTCATGCTTGTTCTACAACAAATCAATGTGAACCAAGTTTTGTTTCAGCTATCCAAGGTTAAAATAGTACCTATGAAAACCCATATTTCTGTTTCATTTGTTTCTTTCCACTCATCATCACACACATACACGTCGCTATTTCAGTGCAATATATTCAACGCAACGTTAACCCCGATTTCACCTCCCCATGACGCGTCCGGGGATCGAATCCAGGACCTTCCGGTCTCCGGGCAGACGCTCTTCCACTAGACCACTGAAGCAGTCCCATTGTTTGCAATTGTTCTCGGTTCAATATGTGTCGTAGTCATGTGCGATAATGCCGACAGACGTTTCGTTACAAACAACATTTAAAGAATGTATATATGGACGTTAATCTTGATATACTATGAGTGGGGTAGCTTAGTGATTAAGCATTCGCATTCGTCTCGCCGGTTTCGAAAACAATTTCTGGTGTCCCTCGTAATATATCCCTTTACGATCAGCTGTATTTTAAGAAAAGCGTTTTCTATATCAAGGACCACGCCGGGGAGACAACAGAATACTCGTACATATATCAACAAAAATATAATAGAAGATGATATCAAGGTTCACCTGAGATATATGACGACCAAACGCTCTAATGCGCGACAGATATCTCGGCCTCAACACAGACTGTGGACCTGCATATCTTAAGACCCTAGCTCAACCTCACGAACCAACAAGAGGACTGAGTACACAAGACAAATAGGTTCCGCAAAAGCTTCAGTGAAAAACAAATATCGGTGAACGTAGCTTCAGGTGCGCAGCAGCAACTGGTGGAACTCCCTTCAAGGACACATCAAATCATCGGTCACGCCAGCATCATCTCAAAGAGTTGAAAACTTACCTGTTCCAAATTGCTTATGACATCCTGTAGCAATCACATCTACATGAACAGTCAGCGTATATCATGTGTATATATGTTGTATGTAAAGCGCCTGTGAAGAAGTAAAGTGAAATTTGAAGGCTATATCAGTAGATTAGATTAGATTAGATTAGATTAAATTTGAGGAGATATGGGTCTTTTACCCTCGTGGCAACAGCCCTACCGAGAGTCCGCAGCAGATCCGGGCCTGAATGGTTGAGTGGGAAATGAGTGGAAATAGGTCTGTTATTGAAATACTGGCCAAAGCGGCATTAACACGTTGTTTACGTTGAGTTAAAGATGTGTATTATTTCTTTTTTTGGGTATTCATGAAAACAACTACCAACACCTTACGATGTCTTCATCATATAGTAGCACGTATTATTTCGTGAGCTGCGTTTAATTTATTCCATTGGGCCCTATAACTTAGGTGTATACGCTAGGCTGCATGAAAATTCATTTTTTTCGGGCACATCGTTAGGATTTACATTGAACGCATGTGACGAATCGTTTTTTTCTATTTTTGAGCCATAGAGGATACAGTTTTAAAACATGAGCATTGAGTGTAAACACATTTCTGCAACTATCATTTATAGAAACCAATACAGTTTATCGCGCAGGTAGTCTTAAATGGTACATGATGTGCAATGGCTTCTCCAGCTGAACATTTTGTAAATTAAGGAGGCATTGTCATTAATCAGTCAGAGTGACCAGACACCAAACAAAACATATTTAGGAAACCTGACTCAGTTAACCAAATAATCTTGGTTGCTGTCATGCAAATCAGGTTCGGTGACTTGGTTTATTGAGGGGCGGTTGGGTAGCCTAGTGGTTAAAGTGTTCCCTCCCCACATGGGTACAATGTGTGAAGCCGATTTCGGGTGTCCCCCGCCGTGATGTATGCTGAAATATTGCTAAAAGCGACGTAAAAATCACTCACTCACTCACTCACTCATTCACTTGGTTTATTGTGTGTCATCGTATCCCACCGTCGTGGATCGTGGATCATTACATCAATCACTGAACCCATCCTCGATTATTTTCAAGCCGCCGTCATATAACTGGAATATTGTAAAACAAACAAACAAAACCATATACACACCCTTGGGGTTAGAAATCGTCATAATCCACAATTCCAAGTTGCGAGTAGGTTATTACCCATTGACATTTCTAGAGCGAAAATAACGAAAACGTATGAAATGTCAACCCGTCATATGAACTTCACTGAAGGCAGTTTATTGTTCAGATGATGTCATGTAATCAATTTGGGACGTCATAAACAAGGGATGACATCAACTCGTTTTTGTCACAACAATGAAGCACTATGAGGTATTGAGAATCGCTTAAACGCACAATTACAACTATCGTAAAGTTATTACAAGCGATAATTCTACCCATATCTACCCTACCTGTTTCCTGAAATGTCACCAACTACACAATACTCGTTTGCCTACACTTTCAGAGAAGACGAATTACTAATATTTAGCTTACAGTCAGGCAGAAAGGAAACAAACACACTTCGCTTTAGAGTTTGACAGGTTATCAAGCCAATTAAACTTTACAAAGAAACCAGGATTTATTTTGAATATTTTAAGAACTATCGTATGGGGTTTCAAATGAAGAAAGTTAATAAGGACACCTTTAACGTTTCCTGTTGTATTAGGTCCAGAGTTCGGTTTCTTTGTTTAATGTGTTATACTTAACAGAGTGTTTATTCGTGTTAAATCAATAATAAGTAACTATATAAACGCGAAGGTGTCAAATGGAATTGGCACTTAACCTTTAACCTTATTTGTTTAAATCGCACGGCTAGAGTGTTATTTTATATGGTTTTTTTTATGGTTACTGTAATCCTTAGTAGCGACGCATTGACTGTTTTATGACTCTTGATGATGGTCTGTAAAGCAGTTTATCGTTTGATGGAACATTTATCCCTTTTCTCCTGAACATAAAGACACACCTGATAAGGTACAAGGTAGGAGAAGGGCCAATATTTGCCCACGGCATCTGCATAATTTAGAAAATGGACAAAAAGGAGAAGATGATGTTAAAGCAGCGCGATGTGTCTGTCTGAATGAGAACAAAACTCGCATTTCTTACTTATAACAACAAAAACTGTAACGGTGAGGCGAAAATGTGCCGAAAAGGCTGAGACACAGATAAATATAAACATCAACGTGAATAAATCCACTTAAACCGATTCCACTCGGCGTACATGTAAATGACAGGATAACAGGTGTAAAAAATTGTATGAATTGAATACTGAAAACCAGTGGCGAAACCAGGTGATGGCGAAGTCCTGCCCAGCCGGTATCACCCGCCACTCACAATTTGCATAGAAAATGTAAGGTTTTATTGTCTGAAGGCAAATCAGTTGAAATCTGTGTAAAAAAACTCGTCATGGGAGATGGACTTCCTCACAATTCTTGAAATTCGAAGCACCGGTCCAGCACTTGTTAGTGTAAGAAGAAAAAGACCAGGTGTCAACCATGAAACGTGTAAACGTGATCATTTCCACACCTATATTTCAATATTTACCATACCATTACAATTTGAAATTTCCAGTGGTCCAAAAAATACCATTATCGGACCTCATTCTATATAAACTACTTCAAAACGACTTGTGTGCAGTTTGTCCTTATTAGCTAATATCGTGTCTTCGCTGTTGAAAGCTTTTTCGAAAAGATAACAACATACAGACATCGACAACAAAAATATGTAATCCAGGAGTATGCCCAGGTTAGCTACCACATTGTACTGCTATAAGCCCGTCTAAGTCTGTGAATAAATGACCATGCAATATGTAGACTATAGATGAAGATGTTATGGGTATCGCTGAAAAAAACAAATAAGAGCTTCTTTACCAGTTTCCATACTTCACAGTCGTCTTTTGATGCTGAGATTATGTGATTGTGACTCAAAAGATTGTGGGTACTTTTTTAAATATTGTAAAGACTCATACGACGTACATCCATCAATGACAAACATTATGTTACAAATTTAGACATATTAAGATCCTCAACAATTTAGGCCTTAATGCTTAGATCCTAGTTTCTAAACAGCTTCTCATTTGTAATCATCATAATTATATTTGTCAAGAATTGTTTGTACTATTTGCCGTGTAGGGATAAAATACTTTTGTGTTTGTTGTTTAATGTCATGTTCAGCAATAATCCAGCTCTAAGATCAAGGAGACACAAACGTAAATGGCATTGTTAATGCATTTTAATATTTCAACACTTAACAATTAATACATGATTTCAAGTCAAGTTATGTTTCCTGAAAGGTTTCAATCACGAAGCACACTGAACAATCAGGAGTTAATCACAATCTACTTCTTCTTCTTGCGGGCAATGTCCACCATCTGTTGGCTCTGAAAGGCCTCCAGTTCAGACATGTCGAAATCCTTGTCTGTAGAACATACGTTTCTGTCCTTTTTACAACACGTTGGGTAGTCACCATCTTTGACTTGCGTCTCCTTGGGGTAGCATCCGGGGATCACCATAAATGGGTCTTGTATTTCCAAACAACTGTAGAGCAATACAGGTACAGACAGGCAAGGTTAATGTGTTTGAAAGGGCAAATATGATAAATGCGTTGGATTTCATTTTGTTGGTAATTCCGTAAAACAGAAACTTAAAAGAAACGGACATCTTATTGGCCCCGGTCGCGTTTAAGTGATCAGAAACAATGAATGACAATTATATTCGAGGGGGCACGGGTGGCCCAGTCGTCTAAGGCGCCGCAATTCGCTGTGCAGAGTTGCGTCCCTTGGGCACGCCAGAAACCTATGATTGTGGGTTCGAATCCCGGTTCGCCCCGATTATGTTTCTAGGTTTGCCAGAACCATACCCACGCTCGTGGGTTTCACCGAAGTGGTAAACGTCTGAGACCTGCATCACTTCGGGCTTTCCTCCCACATTAAGCTGACACGCCGCGATATAACTGGAATACTGTTAAAAGTGCCGTTAAACCCAACTCACTCACTCACTATTATATTCGAGGATTATTGCAGTTTGGATTTATAACCGTGGAATAAAGAGGCCATCCTCTGCATTGATGTGATTTAAATTTGTAGATGTGAATGAGTGAGTGAGATGTTTCTAACTTACAATATTCCAGTTACATTCCAGTATTCAGCTTAATATTGGAGGGAAGCCAGAAGTAATGCAGTTCTCAGACGTTAACCTAATTTGTGAAACCCACGAGCACGGGGATGGTGCTGACAAATCTCGAAACATAATCGGGGCGAACCTAGATTCGAACCCACGACAATAGGTTCCACATGTGCCCAAAGGACATAAATCTGCACAGCGAATTGTGGCGCCTTAGAAAACTGGACCACGCTTGGCCCCAAATGAATTACGAAAAATTGATTGTATGTCATCTTGCCCCGTAGATCGTCGCTCGTGCTGTCGGTCGCTGATTTGTCTGATTCAGATTGTCAATCGAAATATGACCTTGCAACAACCCTAATCACGCGCGTCATGTACCAGGGGTACTTGTAACGTCATATGAAGTGTACAAATATTTATTTTAAGATTTAGAAATACGGACATTATGATTTGAAGAGTCTTGTCACATCCTTCCTCTCAGCACTCTCTTCCGCGAAACCAGCACATCCTTCCGCTGATCACTCATTTCAACGCATACATCACATCCTTTTACTAAGCACTCCCTTCCGCGGATACAGCTTATCCTTCTGCTGAGCACGCCCTTCCTCACTTACAACACAGGGGGGCACGGGTGACCCAGTCGTCTTAGGCGCCGCGATTCGCTGTGCAGAGTTGCGTCCCCTGGGCACGCCAGAAACCTATGATTGTGGGTTCGAATTCCGGTTCGCCTCGATTATGTTTCTAGGTTTGTCAGCACGATACCCGTGCTCGTGGGTTTCACCGAAACGTTAAACCCAATTACTCACTCACTCACTCACTCACTCACTCACTCACTCACTCACTCACAACACATCTTTCCGCTGAGCAGGCCTTACCGCGCATATAGCACATCCTTCAACTGAGTACTCCCTTCTGCGCAAACACCACATCCTTCCGCGGATACGAAAGAAAGAGATACAGTCCCTCCACTGGTTTTCGTATTTCCGTTGATAGTTATGTCAAATCATTCATTGTCTACGAAACTGACTACGAGAATTCCCAGTAATGGACAGTCAAAACTCACTGAACAGACCGAAATACTGTTGATTCGACGTTGATTGTAAACTCACTCACTCATTGAAAATAAATATATATGTATAGGGAACCTATCGCAATAAGATCTTTTGTTCCCGTGGAGTCGAATCGGGACCGCGTCACGATCCGATCACTCCCGGAGCGCAATAACAGGGTCGCCGCTCATTTGCGATCAATGGGACATTAGTGACGACCATTAGTGTAAATGTATTCTTACTCTTTGCAGACCGTTATTGCCTCTTCACACCTGCATGACTGACATTCCCTTTCGTCATGGACTGTCCATTTATCACCTTCTTGTTTTCCTTCGGGACAACCTGATGTAAACAAAATGAATATTTTATCAAAATGTATTAGGGTGGTATCATTGGGGATGGTGGTGGTGCATAACAAGGAATAACACGTTATGTTATTGCTTCAATGCACAATTACATCTCATAGCTTTTCTCTTCATCTGAACATCAACATTCGCTTAGAATGGAATAGACACGACAGACATTACGTTTTTGGATTTTTTAAAAATACAACAGACAGTATACATATTTCAACCAACCTAAAGTTACGACACTTACGAATGCGTGAAGATGAAAGGATGCATTGCTTAACCGATAAGGGCTTGGTCGTCCCAATACACGACCCATGAGCCAAAATAGTTAATGTAAGTAATCATTCGTCAAGTTCGTGATCAAATGCCTTTTGGGTATCAAAATAAGCGTTTGTTAAAATGAATTTCAGATTAAATGTGAAAGAATACAGAAATTTAAACCAAATGAACCAATAAGAATCGTTAATGTTGTTTGGTTTCGCGAGAGATCAATAAGTCATTCAATCCAGCTGTTGTTTGAATGCATCGAACATAGTCGTTCTGGGCTAAGAAATGAAGTACTGAAGTGCACAGAGCCAATTGATTAGGATGAATCAATACACGTGATGTAGTTCTGTGTATATTAAGCAAATACGCAACGGATCAAGAAACCTGATTCCAAGACAAACCGAGAACAACATATTTATCAACGGCGCAATTTTCGTTTTAATAGCGTCGTGTATTCAACAGCGACCTTCATACAGTTTAAAAAATCTCAAATAAAATAATGTGAAACGAATGCAATATAGTCTTAAAGAACAAAAATCCTCGTGTGTAGATCTAGAGATAGCACTATCACATGATGCATATTGTTAATATCAGAATTAACGCAGGACTGTATTAAATGAAACATTAGATATTTGACAACAAAACAATTGAGGTGTGGGGTGTCAGATATATTAAGGCTACAAACACCTTCACTTTTTGTGATCACACACTGACAAACGCAGTTATAAAAAAAAGCTAATTCATCTAATAACCTTTCTTAGATAGCAGCTGTAGTTCGTAGAATGCTTACCTTCCTCTGTTGACGTGTTTCCATGAACAAGAACAGTCAATGTAGACACACAAACCAACAAGGAAAGCCACTTCATCGTGTTAGATGCAAGCTTGTGGGAAGGTGTACTTCAGGGAGATCGTTTATCCTGGCTTCCGTTAACAGCTGTTTCCTCTGACGTCCGCTTGTATTCTTTCACATCAATGAATGTAATGATGGATAGTTTGAATAGGTGGCTACATGCATGCGGGTAAACTCAATAGAGATCGATATCTATGAATACAATACATGACGGGAAGGAGTCAGTGAGTGAGTGAGTGAGTTGTGTTTAACACCGCTTTTAGCAGTCTTCCAGTCATATCATAGCGTGTCAGCTTAATGTGGGAAGAAAGCCCCAAGTGATGCAGGTCTTAGACGTTTACCACTTCGGTGAAACCTACGAGCACGGGTATGGTGCTGACAAACCTAGAAACATAATCGGGACGAAACGGGATTCGAACCCACAATCATAGGTTTCTAGCATGCACAAGGGACGCAACTCTGCACAGCGAATCGCGGTGCCTTAGAGGACGGGTCCACCCGTGACCCCTAATACAATACATGACTTGAAGGAGCCCCAACATTTCAAGTGAAGTTGAGTATTTTGTAATTACTGTAAATTGTTGCCTTCCATTGCCTATTACTAAGCAGATATCAGAGCCCCAATTATCTGTTGGCTTCCCTTGTTAAGTTTCCACCTTCTGTTATCTTATTACTTTGTGTTCTTACATGTACCTATATATGCTCTCCGCCTCATAGCATTCGTTCGCCTGATGAAGGAGTAAGCATATACTCCGAAACGTTGTGTTCCTCATAATAAAGAAGGGGACATCCATAAATTCTCTTCCTAAACTTGAGTGTAGTAAAGAACTATGGTGATTACCAAAAAAATCATGATAATAAATCATCGCCTGTAAGGAACTCTGCATCACGCCAGCATCCAACGCTCTCTTGACATATCAGACACTTTTACATCACAATGGAAATATTATGTCCTCATTTCCTCACTTAATCCCGACTATATGTACATTCCCTCGATCTCCATGGAATTGGCGTTCCTACTGTGACAAACGCATTTTGTTTACAATTTTAATATTCCTTCCTTTGCCACTGTTAAAATTTGTTAGTAGACTACCTCCTGAAAGGTTGGTGTGGTTTGTTTGTTTATTGTTTTATATATTCCAGCTATATGACGGCGGTATGTAAATAATCGCGTCTGGACCAGACAATCCAGTAATTTATATCATGAGCATCGATCCACGCAATTGGGATCGATGACATGCTTCAACCAAGCCTGACTCCCCGATCCCGTTAGTTGCCTCTTACGACAAGCATAGTCGCCTTTTACGGCAAGCATTGGTTGCTGAACACCGAGTCTACCCCGGATCACGGGTAACCTCCTGAAAGGTCAGATATTAATTCCCAATATTATAATAATTTTTATACTTAAGGGGCATTCACACGCTACAACTACTTGGCGCAATTAATTCTACGAACTGAATTTGATACAATTCGGCATTCACACGGTGGCGAGTTGCATCCAACTCGGATCTCGCAAGATCTCTGACTAAATGCTTGGAAAATAGTGATTCACTACATTACCGTTGGAATTCTGGTAGCGAGTTACATTTTCAGACGCACAGTTTTATAAGTTCTGAAAAATGAAAAAAAATATCGTTTTGCGAGAATTGTGGTTGCGCGGCAACTGGGCGAACATCTGACTTTGCTATTTATGGAGCTATATAGTATTGAATGTTCTATCAAGTGGTGTAATATTTCAGACTAATTTGAAAAGCAGACGTAGTGCTAAATGTTGTCCAAATTATAGCTTTGGTAGCGAAAATAAACCAAAAAATGTAGCCATTTTTTTTATCGTACACCGATAACGTAACATGCGATTAAAAGTTTTATTAGACAGCTTCATGTCAGATGTGAGCGAACAAAATACTATCTAATATGTGAACGGGGTAATGGCATGTATATTAGCATTGTGTGGTCATGTATAACATGATACATTCCATACGAAAACTTACTTCTTGTATGTGGCGAAATTCAATTTTTCTGCCATGACGGTGGAGAGGTCTACACATGTGCACAGAAAAGGGGACATAACTCCACTATGCTTAACTGTAAGCAATTACCCAGTGACCAGTGTGAGAATTGGCCATGGTTCATGACAATATATTCTCGTGAGTTTGCGTCAGCCATGGCGTCACGTGGAACAATTTCTGTTGATTTTTCAAATCATTGTCAAAGTATCTAATAATTAATTCCTCAATTCTTGCAACGATTATCGCCCCATGCATATTCGCAATAATCTGAGCTAATGTATGCAACATATCGACGACCGTATGTCTTGAAATAGTAGAACATGCTCATGTCTAAATGTGGATGTTTACAAGCGAGTAAGTACTGGTAGGTTTAGGAGCACAGTGTTGATTATTTCGGTTGATTTCATTTGGACCCGTGACTGAGGCAATTAAAATTGTGTCAATTCATTGGTATGAGGAATTCAGGGATGTATATGTCGTAGCTGAATGTGAAATATATGTGATGTCATGGGCGTCTCAATACCGACAGGGGCGGTCGGGTAGCCTAGTGGTTAAATCGTTCGCTTATCACGCCGAACACCCGGGTTCCATTCCCGACATGGGTACAATGTGTGAAGCCCATTTGTGGTGTCCCCCGCCGTGATATTGCTGGAATATTGCTAAAAGCGGCGTAAAACCATACTCACTCACTCACTTTACAGAATATGTTTTTCACAAAGGCCGCCAGGGGTCTTGCAAGCGAAGTAAAGATTTGCAATGCTAAAATGCACAAGATTTAACCAAAATCTCATTACAGAAAAAATGAATGAAAACTACAGAGAGAAAGAATGTAATTTCACTCACAGACAAAACATTTCAAACAAAAACTGAAACAAAATCTATATACATCAACCGAAAATGTCGGTTGAAGAATCACATAACTGAAAATAAAACAAATAAAAAAGCAAATCAATTGGATAATTTGCACCAGTGGTGTTTTTGTTTTGGTGGACAATCCAACTGGTAACAAATCAGGTGTCACGACGGTGACGGTAATATAGGGTACAACAGGACAGCAGGTTGATACCTGCTTATTGGCATGTTTTACAAACAGTGGATATGGATACTCTAACATACACTCACTTCTAGAAAGGATACTGTTATGAATGTAAGTACATTGTAGTACCCGACATTAAGGTGATAATACTCATTGGATATGTAGAAGATCTTTAATACTATGTTAAATCACGGCATACATACACATGTACGGCATATTTTAATTCCATCTTCAAATATGTTCATGTAAAATAAAAAAAAGAGTCTGACGTAATATGCTCCCCAAGAGTATGTTTTGTCAGTGGCCACACATGTACACAATAGTTGATCATATATGCTGAGTATTTCTCCCTTTCAAAACGTGCATATATGTTATGCGAAGGGAACACGAACACTGCAGTTGTACATACGTAGCTCGATCGTTATGTTGATGGACGTCTACTGACATGAGCTGGCACTTACCTTATGGACATGCATGTAGTAACATGTGTTTTTGCTAAGAGTGTAAGCCTCGGTCGGATAATTCTTATTTCCTTACTTCTTACGCCAAGAAGGTGTATTATTTCATTTGTGTTATGCGCAGTCGTTGGTATTGAGATATATCCGACAATAGTTTGCTTGTAGATACAAAATCAGGAATCAGTGCAACATGTAAAATTTTAAATTTGATTGTTTTCAGTATTTGTGTTATATAATAAAAACTAGACTACAATAGACAGATGATTCTTGTCGATAAATATGGCTACAAGTACATGCTGAACCAGTATATGTAGCTGTGTTGTTAACATGCACTGATTACTTGCAGCGAGTATTGGTGTTGTATAAACTACACGCATTAGTCATATATTGTGTTGTACTCATATTTCAAATATTAATATATTTCTTGTTTCCTGATAACTCCATATGTTCTGTAGACCCAAGTTTTTCGAGGCAGCTGAAGGTCTGGTGTATACCGTCACCACAGTATTAATCTGGATACACACAGATTTCAACATTAAAATCACGCAGGAAGCTAATACATGAACTTCCAGATCTAGGGCATGATACCTACAGTAAATATAACCATACATGTGATGTACCAACATGTCAAGTACTTTTATTAAGTCGCATGTTTAACTCTAAAGGTCTCCACAAAGGGGTCTTTATGCAATACAATAAGTATTACTATTGCCATTGGGAATTAAGGTGTAAGAAATACCACACATGATATACGATGCACTTGTCAATTCTGCACAATTCTGAGATATATCAAAATCACATGTTTGTGCTGATGAAAAGAGCTTACATTAAAAGCATATACTAGTATGTTGCTCGATCGACCCTGACATATTAGAACTATCGATTGTCTCAAGATAGACCTTCTTATGCCCATGCTGGAAATAATTAACACACATTATTCAACGATACATCTTCTTGTTGCTCGCGATCTTGTCCGAGCAAGTCGGCTGCTGACAATCCCGGCTCCTACAACATATGGAAAATGGACTGTTTAAGGATGTCTGCTTGTATGTTTTTGCTGATGCAATCATTTGTATTTATGCATAAAATAGCTACGCCATAAATCGCAAAGAACAAAGAAGAACAAAGCTTGGCTTATTTCACGATAAAACATTGTTCTATCAAGATATCATTTCTGGAGATTCGAACATGCGCTCACAACTTGCTGACCTCGTAAATTGGACGGCGTTATTTATAAGAGGGAAGTGTCTTGTGAGTTGTTCCCCATAGATGTTATAAGGCACCGTAGGAAATGGCCGATATAATTTATGTTCTAAATCAACCTATCGCCGATATGAAGCGGTGTCGTGAGTAAAGTCAGATCGTTAAAAAAACGGCGTTTAATGTCGTTTACTCTCGTTTTACGATACGTCGTATTTTGCTTACGACAAAGCCGAATGGGAGCTGAGTGCTATGTCACTTCCTTAAACACGATTGTTGATATGTTGATTTGCGTCAAGCTTAAAAATATCGTCCGCATCTTAGTTATACGCGACCACTTGATTCATTGCATTTTCTAAAGAGAACCAAAACATGACGTGAACATTATTTTTTCGATCCTTGAGATCGCCAAATGACAAAAACGAACTATTGACATAACATCAGTTGACCGATTGATGCATTGATTGTCATACGTTCCTGCTTGTGAATACTCAGGAAAAAAATCAATATGCTTACAATTAACAACGTTATTTAAGCGTAAAACCAATAAAATCAAATTAATGAATATTTTAGTATTTAGAGTTTGATGATGTTGACTTTGCTAGATACAAATCAATATCGTGGTATATCACAAAAGTAAGATTATGTTTTGATGATTTTCTGGTTACCCTGTTCGTCAATTTGTAAATGTGTCTCTATGGTTTTGTCATTACACTTTTAGGAGTGAATGACTGAGTGGCAGTGTAACGTCGCATTGTCATTGTGTCAGCCATAAAGTGACGACACCGTAAGGAGTCCAGTGAACCACTCTACTACCGTTCCAAGAAATTCGACAATAACAAATAACAAAATTGGACAATATCCCTTCGCTTTCATTACACAGCGTCAGAAGGAACTATTATTCAGAAGATTAAACATTACCTTAATATCAGGAGCATTTCCATCCGCGGCGTGTTTAAAGCATGACAGGGTGCGTCCTCGGAATCTGCAACACCGAGTGTGACAGAGCAACCAACGTTTGTCAGTATGTAAAGTGTAATGACAATTAATTCAGAGTTTCCTACAGTATCCTTGAGAAACTTTACACTGCAGAGTGATACAAACACATTTACAAGTTTGGTTCAAAAACGCATGATGAATTTCTTGTCCACTCCATCGGTTTCAAAACACATTTCCAGGCATATAAGGATATTTAATTTATAAAAGCTTAAATTTTATGCCACAGAAGAAAACTGGAAAAATTTGTCAGTTAAAGAAAATAATCAACAACTAACCAGATAAAGATCCCGATTAAAACGATTACAAGTAGACAGGCTATGGTTGAAATAATCGCAATGGCAACATGTGATTCTTGCCTTTGAGGTGGGACGTCGGTGATTGTGGCTATATAAAGGAAATATCATGCTTAGAAATACATCTGTAACAACTTATGTCTTCTACAGATCACGTGATAGTACTATCACGACCATGTATATATACCATAGGTGTTGTATTTGTGACAATTACAATGTATTTGTGTGGGTGACGAAAAATGTGTTTCTTAGACATTCAGTTTATGAATAATAGTTTCTTTCCAACTTAAAGCAACTGAAATACCTACTAATACTTATTAAGTGTGTTATAATAAAAACTACTAGATCCTAATAAATTACTCAATTTTGTATATATTCGATGTTTAGTGATTAAATGTCTACGGTTGTCATCACGTTTGTATTATAATGGAAAATTGTCACCTTTTCTTTACCCAGAAAGTAAACTAATGCAACTTTGAACCAACATGTCCTATATTATTATTATAACTAACTTCCCCTGTGCGTATAACATGTAAATCGATGGACATTCAAACTACCAATACTAGCATATCACATACATTGAGAGGTTCCGTTACCATCGATCATGGAGGTGCATCGACTTCTTTCATCATATGTGAAACCTTGGCGACATGTTATGCAGTTCCCACTATTCTGTTGACATTTGAGGCAGTTTTGAGAGCAGGTGAACTCACATGTCTGTCCCTTCCACCCATCAAGACATCCATTGCAAGTTTTGTCATCGCTACAACCGGAACTTAGACAGTTGCATTTCTTCTTCTCACAGCTTGTTCCTGTGAACCCTGCCTTGCAGGATGTACACACCCCAGCTTCAGTGCAGGATAAACAGTTAGGTAGGCAAGGGATATGGCAGAGGGGAGGCTTCCAGCCAGGTACACAGCCGTGGGTACAGGTAGGAGTGTCTCCGTCAATCCTTGTACTGCAATCTCTATCGAGGCATTTATCAGTACAGTGTCTATCACAGGAGTGCCCATAGAAGCCAGTGTTACATCCATGAAGGCACACAGCCGTCAGCTGATTGCACTTGCCATGGAAACATTCCACTGAACAGGTTTTGTGACAACGCGTCCCGGTAAACCCGTCCTTGCATCCACTGTCACAAGAACCATCATAAAATTTACAAACTGAATCAGTACACTGTTTTCCACACTTGTGTTCACATTTATGTCCCCACCATGTGGGTTTACAGCCTTCCAGACAATTCCCTGTTGTACGGTCACAGAAGACACGGTCATAATAGCTCTCTCTGCACTGAGGTGGACATGTCAGTGCACAGGTTGCAGAGTAATATCCAGCTTGACACTGAAGACAAACACCTGTTGTTTTACTACATCCACCCGTGTCACAGTGTTGACACATCTTGTCACAGTAATCACCATACCATCCAATATAACATTCCTTACATCTCCCGAAGTCAGATACCGACAGGCAATGGTAGTCTAAACCATTAGCAATAGCGATACCTAGAAAATGTAATATAAAAGTTGGATTAGAAATAGCATGAATACACCAATCTACCATACTCTGATAACCATAATACATATGACATAAAAGGTCACGAATCTCCACCTGAACTCGTCTCCATATCCAAAAAGTCCAATTAGTCCTATTACAAAGTTATAACTTGATGTAAAACATCGTGTGCTATTAAGTGAGGTGAGGGGAAATTGGGTTTAACGTCGCGTCCAAGATTATTGCACTTATATAGCGACGTGCATGCACGTGTGTGTGTGTGTGGCACGTGTGTGTGTGTGTTTGTGTGTGTGTGTGTGTGTGTGTGTGTGTGTGGCTGCTTGTACTAGTCCGGACTGATGCCGATTTATAGTGCTAGCTCACTGAGATACCATACCGCAGTTTAACATGAATACCCCCCATGCCGAGCGCAAGACAGGGCAACAACAAGTACCATTTTTTAACGTGTTTTGGTATGACGCGGCCGGGGATCGAACCCTGGACCTTCCGCTCTCCGGGCGGACGCTCTACCTCTAGACCACGGAGGCGGCCTTGAGCTGTTAAGGATGTCTGCTGCTGTGATTTTGTAATGGGAGTGTTCTATCGACAAGTCAATATATTGCTGATATGACTTGAAAGTCAAATCGCTACAGATGTAACCTTTTATGTAGGGAAAAAGGGGAATAGCACATTTACGTGTAGATGGTTTGTTATAGATAAACGTTTTAGCCATTTGTGCTTAAAATGTTAAATGCAATAACATACTATTATTTACATAGTGTATGCGAAACGATGAATACGATGAATGACTGAGTACCTTGTATGCCTCTACAGCAAAGTTTAGCGCGGTAGAGCGCAGTACCATTTACACGTACCACCCGCTGTTTCCCATTTGGGCAATATTAAGATAATAAAAATAGTATTTGTCTTAGAATAATTTAGATAGTGGTAATACACATCCTTATAATAATTTCAATTATCCGATGCAAACAATCTTCATACACATCCTTAAGATAACTTAAAATATCTCATACAAACCCTTCCCCATCTATCGTTAGTATATGAGTTTAATATACATATTTTCAGGAGAGCTGAATTGTCAGATTATTTGTACCAATGATACAATACGTTCAAACATACTCACTTTGTAGGTACATGCATATGGCTATTGCAAGCAGTTGATGTAATTCCATGTTAACAGTTGTACGCTGTAAGCAAGAGAAATGTATTGGTTCCACATTCAAAAGACACAAAGCATGTAGGTAATTCGAAAAGGCCTTGCACAGAGTATTACTTCGGAAATTGTTTCACTTAGTCATTAGTTTGTCAAATGTCACACTCGTAAATAACTGAGTCCAAACTGATGTTTGTTGTCATCTTTACGATTATCAAAATTGTGAGTTGTGTTTTGGCTTAGGGATTGTACGTACAAATATGTAAACATGTACGAACAAACATTTATAAAATCGATGAACGGGAAGCATAAACAAGAAGCAAATACAGGGAAATGTACTACGCATACGGTTTCACGTCAGCAAATAGACGGTCAAAAGATTATTTCCCGTTTAACCTCAGATCGATTTCGTCCACAGAAAGAAGCGGTTGCATAAAATGTAAGTGTTTTGTTTTATAGTTGTAATAGTACCAAATGATGTTTTTCCAACATATATTACAGTTCAAGCGAGAAAAAACTGAAACAAAATACATGAATTAGGAGACGTCACTTTTGAAATGCTCATGAAAAGTGAGTGAGTGAGTACGGTTTTACCCCGCTTTAAGCAATATTCCAGCAATATCACGGCGGGGGACACCAGAAATGGGCTTCACACATTGTACCCATGTCGGGAATCGAACCCGGGTCTTCGGCGTGACGAGCGAACGCTTTAACCATTAGGCTACCCGACCGCCCCGCTCATAGAGAACAGTGTCGGGCATTACAGAACAGCGACACCCCACCTAATTTCTTCTGTGTTCTGATTAAAGTGAAAAACAACTACTGTATACATCGAACCTTTCAATGTGAATCATATTTAAGTATTGACCTTCACTTTGTGTGAGTTCATTGGAGTGTGGAGCTTGCGACGACGTTCATGCAATGTTTGGCCCTCACTCTATGAAGGTTCATACTCCAATGAACTCACACAAAGTGAAGGTCAATTCTTATAATTTTTTATCACAATTTCTTACCTCAAAGGATGTAGGCCAAGATCTAAACACAATTATATTATTTAGTACGTGTGACTTCATGTTTACACTGACAGCCAAACAACAACCAGCTATATCGCGGAATAAAATAGTTCCCCCAAAAGAGAGGTGACATGAGCGTATGGATGCAGAACTTGCTCTTCAGAAACATCTTACGCAACACATGTGTTCATATAATTTTCCTATCAGATGAGAAAGGTCTGTAATGAACTACCTCAGTAGGTCAGTCACAATGACAGCGCATCGTAATACATTTACATCAAGTACAAGACGTCAAAATGGCCGACACGATAAACGTGACGGGAGGATTTCCGAAGTTGTTAATAAACCTGTGGCGGTTACATGTGTTAGTCATCATTGATCAACTGACCAATTATTGAAAGGTGATTAAAGATGCGTCAAACAGACACCAAGGAAAATTCGCAGATTGCTGGAGACAATCACTGTCAGCCTAGACACAGATTGAGTCGATACTGACGATAGTTTGGATGTGCATTTTTTCGTTTGTTCATTAGGATGGGCCGTAGCGAGGAAATTCGTGAACAATCATGCAGTCAAGCTCTCTTACGTTTCTCAATGTATACTGAAATGCTGAGACCAAGATTAAAGGTTTTAAATGATCAGAAATAATGTTTATGTATGTTTTCGTGCTAGGGAATTCCCAGGGCTTTCCCCAGGAATGTGTAAGTAGTCCGTCAGTGTTTACGTCATTTCAAGAACACGGTCTCGTGAAAAACGTATGAACGTCAAATTGTGTCGTTCATACACTTATGAACGTCAATTTCGCGGTCATGTGACCGACCTCTCGTCCAATGGAAAAGTCGCATATCGTGTAAACGTCAAATTAAAATATTATTCGCATATAAAGACGTGTTTCTGTGGTCCCTCACACTTGTTCCAGATCGATAGTTTGCGTTGTCCTCACGTTTTGCCCTTGTCGGTTTGGCTGAACACCTACGGTATGTCATGCTATTCCTAATAACACTCGGGAACACCTTTGGCCTTGTTTATGGCTGAAGTAGCATTGATATACGATGATATCGTTTGCTTTCACCATATTCTATGTATTCAATCGGAAACGAAAGTCCCCGGAATTTCTTAACTTGACTTAAAGCTCTGGTATCCGAAATTCCGATTTCAATAATGACCTGCTTTTACTATCAAACACCTGTCTCAAACACATCTTGGGTCATAAGGGAGCAACCATTTGATTCTCGGGGGCGGGGAGGGACGGGATTTTCTCCAAAAACATAATCAAGCCCCCGTTTTACTGAACAATATTGCATATGTATTGATTGTTGGAAAATAATAATGTCCCCTTTCTTGCAAATACACACAAATATACATTCCTGCACAGTGGTATCTAGCAATAAAAGTTTATTTATTTATTCATTTATTTCATTTAGCTTTGAATAAGTTATACGTAGGTCAGGTGCGGAAAGTTCACTTTTCAAATTATAAGTGTTCTCTAGAGATCCTAAAGAGAAACATGTTTCTTATTAAAAAGACGTGTTTCATATGTCAGCAATAACTAATGTCATAGCTAATTGTTTCATGACTGAAGTAAAATACTTTTGTCCAATCAATTGCCTTTCCTCTAAAAGTCAGATTCTGTTCAGCTTTTCATTCCGTTTCAATAGTTTTTATATGGAATATACAGAAATTGCCCCCCACCCCCACCCCCCCAACTTCTTTATTATGAATTGAAATAAAAATGTTTATAAAAAAACGAAACACTTCTTTATTATGAGGAGCACAAAAAAATATAGGGAAATGTCAGAAAGAGAGAGGGGAGGGAGGGGGAGTGTGTAACGCGTGGTCTGTCACTCCTAGGCCTGTTCCTAGGGTGTCCTGTCTCGTTTTACCTCTGGAGAAGTCGAGTCACTGTCACCCAGTTAAGCAAGACATGCTTGGAGCGTTCTTTTTTCAATTGTGACACGTTCCCATCGATGTGCTCGCCTTTTATACCTCTCGTGTGCATTTTGCCTGAATGTTGGCCTTAACACGAGTTTTCTACATAAAGTGCGAAAATCAAAATCTCCGAAATGCACGGACTTTGAGTCAGCCACACATGTTGGCTGCATTTATGCAATCGTTTTCCGATATTTAAAGGAAAATAAAAGTGAGTTTACTAACAATTATTGCCGCTGAAGCCTGTGAAGTGCGATGAAGCGGCTTTGTTTGGAATTTGCCGAAAAGACGAAACATTGTTAAACCGACTATATATTTCCCATTGAACAATCGAAAGAATGCTTTATGCTCTTGGACGATACCAGATAAGCAAATATACTAGAGGTTAAGTTTGTAAAAGAACATCCCAGTGTTGACCAAACTTATTATCACAACATTTTCATGGTCAATCTTCGAAACATGTGCATGAATGTCATGCCCGGTGGCTGGCTTCGGATATTTTTCCCCTTTGTTTTTTAGGCGACAATTTTTTTATTTCTTGGTTTACGGATGCGCCGCTCTTTCAAAGTCCAAATGTTAAATAAAAATAAATATGAAAATTACCCTTTTTTTTATTACCGCCGATCTTTTCGACAAAAAGTTCAAACAAAAAAAAAGATTTCATTTCCTCGTCGAGCGTAAAGCAAAGGGAAGTCACTCTGATATTTCTTGCTGGGATCCTTCTCTAATACCATCAAAGCTTGTCAACGCAAAGCGCAGTGGTGACCAGTTTAACTATTTCAACACTGTTGGCCGTTCAAAGCCACAAGTCACACCGCACGGTAGACCGTCCAAGCCACGTCAAAACAGTTTATAATTATATTAACCTACTTGTCATATCATTCATTTATTAAATCTATCACATTTCACAATGTCTGAAATACGTATTCCATTTGATTTTATCATTTTTTTATCTATAGATTAAAAATATATTCACTTAACACTATTTCCCGCAATGTTATTGAAAATAAAATTATCGGACACACTTCGACAACGGGACCTCATCGAACATGTCAAATAGCAAAATAAAGACGTTTCATGCGCTGAAACGTCTTTATTTACAAAGTAATAAAATCATCAAAAATATATCTATAAAAGTTGACAAACTGACATCTTAGTTATTATTTCCAACTTTTCATGCGATCGCATATTGTAAGTCAAATGACATCTCGGCTTTCGTCGCCTCGATTTCTCGGCTCGGACACGATGTCTTAATGCCAAAATATATGCATAAGAAATCTTTGTCACAGCTCTAAACCTAGCTCTATGCATCCATAAAGTTCCATATTTTTAATATAGATCGCGATTTCATGCTAAAACGTTCAGAATAACATGATTTAACCCAAACCTTTCGCCAAAGTCTGAAAATTATCGTTGCTGTAATTTGATTAGCTGCCTTAGGTCACGTGCTTAAATTTGACCAATCACGAACCTTGTAGCAGATTTTGTCGGTGAAACAATATAAGTTTTTTTAATGTATACTGACATGGCAGGACGTATGTGTTATTCATACGAAGCTTTGAAAACCGAGGTATTTCCTCATGTTAGTTAGCGGACAGCCACTATAATCGGGAAATGGGTGATGACAGATATTATTTGTAATTCTTTTTAAAATAATGTTCCAACAACGTAAACAAATGAAAATTAAAAAGAAATAGGTAAGTGGATTTTATGAATTATTATGTTTGCCGAAAAAATCGTTAGATTTGCGCTGAATTTGGACGTAATGAATGTTTTAGCTTACATTATTATTTATTTAAAACGAACTTTATTTAGTTGTTCATGAATTATTTAAATAATGAAATACACATAACTTTCATATTTATAAACAATAGGATTAATTAGACCTTTCAAATAGTGTATGGCCAAACATGTAGTAGCAAAGATGTTAATTTCAGCAGATAATTCCTTGATAAATGTTGGTTTCATCTATCACACAACAGTCTCTGGGAACTTGGTGTCACAGCAGTAATCTTCTGGTTGGCTGGTGTTGAAAGAGTTAAATGTTGCCCATGCTGCCAAAATAGCAGCGTCTTTCATGCATTTC